AACAAAGGGAATGAATGTAGTTAGGAGGTCCTGGGATGCTCCAATATTGGGAAGTCAGGGAGATGGAGAGGAACTACCAAAGATTATGAAGAGTAATCAGTGAGCAGGGAAGAAAAGGCCTAAAACTGGCTATTACACTGCACAATGAACATCACTGGTGGCTTCACAAGTTATTTTATTTTAGAGGAGCAGTGTGAGTGAAAAGCTAGCTGGATTTAGTAGATGGAAAAATGGTGAAGATGCAAAGCAGAGGAGAGAATTGCTGAGAAGATGTCCCTAAGGGAATGTAGAGATCTAGTGAACATGGAGAGTTGGCCACAGAGGGAAGTAGAGATAGTTAATTTAAAGTTAACAGCAGTGTGGCTGGACATGGCTGAGTAGATATGGGAGCCCAAGATTCTCTACTTGTTGCTTCTATTTCATTCTTATCAAACTACAAATGCCTCACTCTGAGAGGACTTTAAGCCAGAGACAAACCTCTCTTGGGGTCATGGAACCGTACTGAAGGTGTATGGGAAGGGTTAGAAGAGACTTTCTCTAAGGTAGGAAAGGACAGGCTCAACACTGACCATCAGCATTAGCACAATAATGGTACCATTCTGCAGAGTACAAAGTGTGGTAGAAGATAGCATTACAGTTTCTATTTTAACTTTGTTTCCAGGTCTAGTGTCATAATTACAAATCTTTTAGTTAAACTTGCTTCCTATACAGACCTCCTCTAATTACTATTATTAATCTGACAAAATGATAAGTAATGAACTTAGTAACATGAGGTCCATCCAAAATGAGAAGTCTGTCCATTTCACTACCTTAAAATACTACAGGAAATCTCATTATTCCACAAATATTAACTACAATATCCCAAAGCCTCCAGATGTATATATATTTTAATTTTTTTCATTGTTGATAGACCTTTATTTGTTTTTATGTGGTGCTGAGAATAGAACCCAGTGCCTCACATATGCCAGCCCCAGCCCAGATATATATATTTTTAAAAAATGTTTTTTTAGTTGTAGATGGGCATAATATCTTTATTTATTTTTATGTGGTGCTGAGGATTGAATTCAGTGCCTCACATGTGTGAGGCAGGCACTTTACCACTGATCTACAGCCCCAGCCCCCAGATGTGTGTATTTAGAAAGAATTCTGGCCATTATCTCCCTTCAAGCAGAAAATTGGACTAGTCATGGAATACTATTAGCTGACTTGTCAAAAAAATAAACCTGTCAAATAAGCACCTGTGAAAAGGATTGATTATACAGACTGTTAAAACTTGCGTAAACTTAGAGTTGTAACTAAATCAATACATTCTATATATACATAAGAAAATAAAACTGTCCCAATCCTATGTTTCATGTGTCCATAGGAATTTTTTCCTAAATTTTCTAACATTTGAGGCAACTACCAAAAGTAACTCCAAATAATGCATTCATAATTGTGCTAACTGCTAATCTAAATGAACACAATTTGTAGGCTATCCCTGCACATCTCTATTAGATTACAAGGTAATCTAATATTAGATATTACAAGGTATCTCTATTAGATTACAAGGTAATCTAATAGAGGAGTTGTGCTTTTGAAGAACAGAAGTTCTCCTCAGCAACAATAAAATCTCAACTGTGGTTTTCACAAATACAGAAACTGATTACAGTCTGCTGCTGCAGAAAGACTATCTATTAACATGGAGATAAACCAATTAATATATTCTGACCCTTTATAAACATTAATTCTCACACCAGGGGTTCCTGTTTCTGTATTCCTTGCCTGTAAAGGAACTACCTGTGGAGGAAGACTAYCTTTGAGGAGGTGCACAAAAGAACGACACAGATACACAGTATAAGTGGGCAGACAGAGGTGGAGCAAAGAGGAGTGAAGTCATGAAGAAGGACAGAAGTGAAGTGTCTGCCCCTCCCTCCTGCCAAGTTTATTAACTCAAAAAAAGTTACATATTACCCATCATACCTGACTACACTCTAATCAGTTCCTTTAACCCTGAGTGCTAGCTAACTGAGATAAGGTCCAGGTTAATACAAACACAGACSCTCTTACCCCCAGTATGTTACTATGGAAACCAGGTAGTGCACCCCGCATAGTTATCTTAAGAGCCTCAGGGGGAAACTGCTAGGCATTTCAATGGTGGGAATCAGAGTGCCAGTTACCCCCTCGGGAGTTTGCTCAAAGGGGGAACACTTCCCTATTTCCACAGTCAGAATACCTACACTTGCCTTACTCCCAAAGTTTCTCACCCTTGACACAGCCGACATTCTTCTTTGAATGTGCTTCTGCTTTCAATATACCTCTTTCTGTTTTTAACTGGCACACTGTGAGAATGGCCTTAGGCCTGAGCCTACGCAACTCCATTTTAAAAACTCCAGTTTGAAACCTGCAGTCTCACCGGGCACATCCAACAGATCCCTCCAGTATGGCTTCAAACAAGTTATTTCCCCTCACCTGGATAAATAGAGTGAAGCCTCTGGCAGGCTGTCCTCRCCAAATAAAAGGGAAATTCGAGAAGATCAGGGTGGAGACCACGAGACCAGATGTTTCTGATCCCAGGGTAAATGATGTCATGGAGAAATCCGGTGGTAGTTAAGGATTGAAATGGGGGTTGAAAGCCTCAAAATTTAATATAWATAATAGAGCTAATGAACAGGGATCAGCCAGCCAAAATAAGGATGCATTCGAGCTGGAGAGCCTGATGAGGACCTGGACTGATATCCCATCACTTGTCATCGTTTCCTAATTCTTTGCATGATTCTCACCGCTCTCAAACTCTACCGCCTGTCTGGACCTTGATGAGAGCTACAACTTCTCCCTATGACCCTCTCCTCAACCAGTTGTCCAGTCCATGCCAGGAAAAGCCTGCCTTTGTTCCAGACCTGATCACCATGGTCTGAGTGAGTGTGCATCTGCTGGACTTAAAGCCTTAAGACTTTTGATCTGACATTTGAACTTAGCATGCAGAGGAAATGTCTGTCACTAGCCTATCATGATTAACTGTGTTTTGCAATGCTTAGAATTAATCTAGAATTGTTTGCTGTGAATTGATTATGTCTATTGCAGTGCCTAGCATTAAGGATTGTTGTTTTCTTGATTAAGAATCTATAGAGTGAAATTGTATTGAGTAATTTGAGGGAATAAAGCATTAAAAGGGACAGAAGCACGTGGACATTCTTTATATATCTCCCCTCAACTGCATACGTCGAAATTTTGCCCCCTCATGACACACGTTTAAATTATTTTCTATAATATGTACCAAGAACCCCAGTGGTCCAGAGTCAAGTTCCTCCTTCTCTCTGGGAACTCTTCAGATCCTTCTTCAGAGACATTTCTTCTCCATCTCAAYGGCAACATTTTTCTGCAAAAGACTAAACAATAAATATTTTAGGCCTTGCAACCATATGATGATACTTATGACTACTCAACTCTACTGTTGTACAGTAAAATCAGTAAAAGACAATATAGAAATAAATGTGTTGCATTCCAATTATTAAAAATCTGAGATGAGTTAAACTTATTTCAGCATGAAAAAGGTTCTAGGACCAAGCAACATTCCAGATGAAAGCTGGTTCCMAATAGAATATCCCACTGCACATGTATAAGCTATATTTATAGTTTAAAGTGAAAAGAAAATGACAGAGGAAAAAGAAGAACTTGATTGGCCAGAGGTCCCACTGCTAATTAACTGAGACTCAATTGCCTAGTAACAAAATTTGTTTATATATCAAGATAAGATACTGTTCACTATATACAGAAGCCACTCTGGGGAGAACTTTATCATTCCAGCATGGAGACTGATTTGGGCCAAACCCAATTGAACACACACAAATTATGAACAATAAAACTTAAATAYCATGTAATTTTCACCTATCAGGAAATACTCTTTTTTTATTTCTTTTCCCAATCATTTGACAGTGTAAAAACACTGTGTCACAAAATCAGTGTGTCAGGCCTCATTTACCTAGTTGCCCTGATCTACCTGATAACTTCTAGTCACTGATGATAACAGCATTATCCAAACTTCAGAAAAGTTACCCAAGAAAGACAAAAAAGTTTGAAACTGGTTTCAAGATCTTGTTCTACTTCCAGAAGACAAATCTTGATTTCGTCTTTCTGGGAATTTAACAGACTGTCTGGGTCCCTTAACCTCTTGTGATACCAGAAAACCATCTGGTATAACTGAAAGGTATGGAGAAACCTGAGATGCAAGATCTCAGGAAAAGCAATCAAGATGGGCAAAACTTCAGGCAGACACTACAGTGCCCCCTAGATCTTCAGGCACAGTTGTCAACCAAAGGCTCAAAAATGTGCTGGTGCGGGTTCCAGCTATAATGAGGCTACCATTCTGAGTGAGGTAGACATCAAGGCGCAATGTGGCCGCGATCCGATCTAGTAGAAAGCAGCGCCTACAACCAGCTGTTCGGTGAGATTTGAAAACAAGGGCCGTCACAGCTTTGCACTCCTCTTGAGCTCCTGCTGCTGACAGTTACCCGTTCTGTAACCACGAAGCGAGGACACTGAAGACTTACCCTTACACCCAGACTTAGGGTCATCAAGGACCGCCAATATTTTGGAGCTGCCTGAGGTTCCCAGCACAGTAGCATGCCGCCCAACAGAGAAGCCAGCTTCTCAGTCTCCCTCCCGGGGGCTGGACAGCGCAGAAAACCTTTCGGGGCAGTTAAGACGTCCTCCTGGCGCAGGGGACACAAAAGCGAGAAAACAGACAAGCGAAAATAAACCAAAATGACGAAAACCGCGCTGCTCGTCACTGTGACGTGGAAGTCTTAACGCACGAGTTAGAAACCCTAAATTCGAAATCTCGCGGGATCTTGCCGTTCTCTGACGCTCAGAGATGGCGACATCTCACMGAAGTTTCAGAGGCTACTACAGGCGATTGCTGTGGCTCCGCGCGGCGCGGGAGGGTCAGGTGACCTAAAGGCTCCGCCCATGTCTTTCCTCACCGGTCGGTCTCACGCCTGCGCGGGCAAAGGAGACTTGGCGCGTCGCTTGGGCTGCCGGCGCTATGGGGCTGACCCGCGTGCGGGCTATTTTCTTTGACCTGGACAACACGCTCATCGACACGGCCGGGGCGAGCAAGAGAGGCATGTTGGAGGTAACGTCCCCGCTCCCATGGCTCTTCTCCAGACTCAGCACTCCCCAACCCCGTACTGCGCGGGTCCCCCAGTGCCCACTTCCCAGACCCAGGAAKCACTGGCCGCACTCGTCCTTGGAGACTTCAGTAGCTCTCTGGGGGCTGGAAAGACCTGGGAAAGGGCGAGCGGGCTGGGGGTCTCGGCTGCGAGGGGACTGCCTTCCCCGACCCCAGTCCACAGGCTCAGGGAACTGGCTTCTTGCAGACGGTTTCTGCTCTAGGGACCCGGAAGCATGTCCTTAAAACTGCCACGATAGTGGAACCGCCCACAAACGCAGGTAGATGGTCACCGTGCCACTGTACACCCGTGCTGAGCCAGGTAGAGTTTGGACAGTTCAGACCACGGGCGCACGCATCTGAGCTTAGTGGTGGGTCTTGCGGGAGGGACATTTCCCCCAACTGTCGTCTTCAGTGGACTTAGAAAAGAATCATTGAAGGCAGCCCCAATTTTTGACCCAAGAAGTTACGTAAGTTACGTAAGTATCAGAGGTGAACCCCGATTTGAAGCTGCATCTGAGAATTTTTTCTGCAGAACTCGCTTCTGGCTTTCCTGATCTGCTCAGATTTCCAAGGAGACACGGCAAAAATCCGTGCTGCCCCGGTGAGGTATTGCTCAGCAGCATCCTCTCCGTGTACCTACAAATGCTGTTGCAGACCTTCCCAGCGCTTTCCAGCCCCTAATCCACCCTTGCTTTCCTTCCTCTACCTTCAGCTTCAAGGAGAAATCGAAGGATTATCAGATGTGAAAAAACCCGCTTTCAAAAGCCAATCCTTTCAACTCTGAATGTCCCGTCCTTCATACTTCATCAGGTAGATTTCGTCTCCCTGAATCTTCAGCTTCTTCATTCTTTTTTTCCCCCCTGTGCATTTCACTTGTGCTGCATGTTCGTAGTCTTTTTTTTTTTTTTTAATGAAAAAGAACACCTCCCTTGGACTCTTTCTATAGTATATATTCCCTATCTCTCTCAGCCATGGTTTTAGAGAATCTATGCCCCTGATTTCCTTGTCTCTACCTCCTATGGATTCCTAAATCCATTGCAAGGTAGCTTCTATCTCTAGCTCTAGAATGAAATAGATGTGCCAGGTAATTGGGCCTATCCCCACAGTGCCAGAGTCACACTGGATATTTTGAATGTATTTTTTATTTGTTTGTTTGTTTAATGGTGCTAGGGATCTACTCCATGGCCTTGGCACATGCTACACAAATGCTCTACCACTATACTACATCCCTAGCCCTTTGAATCCATCTTAATGCCTTTATTAAGGCCTTCCATACTATTTATTGTTCCGTTCATCTTCATGCCTTTGACCTTGAACTCAAGGACACATCTCTGTGCTATATTGCCTCCAGTAATCCTAAGTGCCAACAGTACATATTTTTTTAAAAAAGAGAGATAGAAGAGAATTTTTTAATATTTATTTTTCAGTTTTCAGTGAACACAACTCTTTATTTTATTTTATGTGGTGCTGAGGATGGAACCCAGCACCCCGCGCATGCCAGGCGAGCGCATTACCGCTTGAGCCACATCCCCAGCCCAACAGTACATATTTTTCTATGTGTTCTTAACAAGCTAAGACTAGTATGTTACAATTGAATTCTTGTTTTAGACCAGTTTTTGCTAATAGGCCAAGAGTTCAGGCTTTGAAATCAGATATTTGAGTTAATAACTGTCAGGTAAGTTTAATACAATGCATGGGAAGTACAGAGCATCCCGTGTTTTACTCAGTGAATTGTACCACCATGTTCCCTAACTTCTACCCCAATGCATATCCCCCTTGCCATCATTTTAGTTACAGCCTGACTCATCTCTCATCTAGACTGTTGATGTGATCTTGTCTCCAGGCTGGCCACATCTAGTTGATCCTCCATGTTCCTGTCACAGAGATTTCTAAAGCAAAAATTAGAAGTAGAACCAGATGCAGTGGAGCATGCCTGTGGTCCTAGCTACTCAGGTGACTGAGGCAGGAGGATCACTTAGTACAGGAGTTTGAGACCAGCCTGGGCAACATAGTAAGACTCTGTCACATACACACACAAAAAAATTAGACTATATTTCTTCCTAGTCTGTCACTTTCACTTTTATATCAGTACCATATTTTGTTTTTCAGATATCTCTTACTGCAGCTATCAATGGATGTTGTTAATTTTTGCAGCTTAGGTTGCCTACAGCTAAATAGTGAACTTTGTTTGACTCATGGTAAATGCTGAATGAATATTGGGTTGATGGAAAAAAATTTTGATCTAGTCTTAGTTCTATTACCACTCCCTTTATAAATAACTTATTAACTAAGCAGAGTTGAATGGTGTGAATACTTTATCATGCAAGGATACATCACTACTCATATGTGTTGATCTATTCTTAAGTAACCCATGTCAGACTTCATAAATCATCACAAATGATTTATGAATCAAAAAACAGGGAAATGTCTGGTCTTTACATTGGGCTTAGGGAGAAGAAGTAATATACTAACTATATATGTCAGTTTAAATATTTTTTTAATCATCTGAGAAAGGTATATTTTTTTTCATCTTCAGACCTGTTTTTCAGTGTAATACCAAAGAAGAAAGCTTATACAGAAATGTAGTTTCTCATTTAAACAAAGCAGAAAAATTTTTGTATTTGTGAATTTACTTTTAAGTGATATGACAGAAGACATAATAAATATATTTATAGATGCATTAGAAAAAGTGGAGGAGGAAATGAATTGCAATTTCAAATAGTTTGGTCAGATTTGGCCTCATTGGATAGATATTGTGTGAGCAAAGACTTATAAACTAGAAATAACAGAAGGCCTATTTGAAATGCAAGTCTGTGTGCAGATAGTCATACTTTGTGGGTATGTATTTTTCGGGGGAAGGGAGGGCATACTAGGGATTGAATTCAGGGGGCACTAGATCACTGAGCCACCTCCCCAGCCCTTTTTTGTATGTTACTTACAGACATGGTCTCACTTCAATGCTTAGCACCTTGCTAAATTGATGAGGCTGGCTTTGAACTCGCAGTCCTCCTGCTCAGTCTCCCCAGCCGATGGGATGACAGGCATGTGCCACCACTCCTGGTTTATTTTTAAATTCAGCCCCTTCACATCCAAATAATTGGTATTAAGAAAATACTTTTGCCCAGTCATATGATATCAAGTGTTACATGGTTCCCAAACCAGCCCCTCACATAAAATAACAGTTAGCTAAACTCTAGTTTTCGTGATAATAATATTAGTGCTAGATCCAGAGAGCAGTAAGTAGAATAAATTTCCTTTTTATACATATTCTGAAAGACAGCCTTAGAGATTTGAAGTGGATGAGTTTATTTTAATCTATAAACTAATAACCCCCAACTATCATAATAGGTACCTGATGGGCTCATTGTATTTGAATCCTTGATAAATCTACTTTCCCCATGTGTAAAATGTCCTCATCCCTTCAAGTTAAAAATCTTTTCCTCCACCTCCAATTTAATCAAAATTCATAGTCTCAACACAGGTGCTAGGAGAGTTTGTAATGTGTACTGATTCAACTTAAGTGTTAGTTCTGTTTGAACTAATATGTAAATGATAAACTGTTCCCTAATGATATTAACATTATTAAAATGCTTCCTATTGTCCCCAACAAATCCGTAGTTGCTGTGTGACAGTAATGGTGTGTAACTAATGAGAAACTTAATGCAAAGGATGTAATAGGAGAAATTTTGAAACTCAAGCAGTATGCCATGTCTTCACAAATATCTTCCCTTTAAAGTGAGCCGAATCTGTTTTTCAGAGCCACAAAGAGTGTGGATTACACATTGCCAATTGTAGTGACAGGTAATTGGATTATTATTGAGAACTCTGTTATCTAGCTGTGAACCAGCCATTTGCTCTCTAACACTGTGCAGTCCTAGAAGCCTATGTCCTTTCACTGTGAAGCAAGGATACTAAAACTAGAAAATGCCCTTTGATCATAGCTTAAGAGTAATTAAGTTATGTTTTCTAGAAAAGATAGTAACATAATCACAGAGGTTGAAAAGGCTCGATTGAAATTTTAACTTGACAGAGCAAAAGTTTTCAAGTATTTTGCCTTCATCTAAAAGTCTTATGGCTGGTTGTTTGTTTGTTTTGGTATTAGGGATGAACCCAAGGGCACTTTACCACTGAGCTCTGTTTACTTTTTAATTTGAGACAGAGTCTCACTAAATTACTTAGGGCCTTGCTAAGTTGCTAAGGCTGGCCTTGATTCTCCTGTCCCAGCCTCCTGAGTTACTTGGATTACAGGCATGTGCCACCATACCTGCAACATTTTCTGATAAGCCAAATAGTCTGAATTTTTTTTCTTTGTCATAAGGGACTCTCATATGCTTGAGGGAAAAACAATGTGTGTTTTATCTTTTTTTCCTTTTCAATAGGTGAAGCAGATTTCTGGTGTGAATAGCATGCCACTTGTAGTTTATTCTGTACATTTTTACTTTTTAGACTGCTTTGCTTGGATTTTGTTTAGTTGGTTTGGTTTTTTATTTTTTTCCTTTTTGCAGTGTTGGGAATCAAACCCAGGGCTTCATGCGTTCTAGGTACATGTTCTACCACTGAGCTACACACCTACCCCATCACAGCAGACACTTTTTAATCCCAGCCAGGTACATTGCATTTATTTCCAAAGATACCACCCACCCCAGTTGCCCTGCATGGTCAACTTTTGTCAGAGGCATACCCTGAGACAGGAACTTCTTCAGGTGCAGGTATTCATTTGGGATTTGATCCCAGGAAGCACTCTAAGGCTGTGGAAAAGTAAGACAGGTAGGAAAAGGAATCTAATGCAGGTGATTAATAAGCAGGTTTCTATTTGTGTGAGTAGTGGGGGATGTCTGGGAGGCAGTATACAGAATACAGTTGTCCTTCCCAAGGGAAAAAAAAAAAAGCACGGAGCTGGGGATGTGGCTCAAGCGGTAGCGTGCTCTCCTGGCATGCGTGCGGCCCAGGTTCGATCCTCAGCACCACATACAAACAAAAATGTTGTGTCCACTGAAAACTAAAAAATAAATATTAAAAAATTATTTCCCCCCTCTCTAAAAAAAAAAAGAAAGAAAGAAAAAAAAAGCAGTGATATTTATCCAACAATTTTTGTCCCTCTTTGGTTGAGGGTTGCTCCGTGGCAACTCTTCAGCTGCAGACTTGGCATGTATGTGTCTGAGGCCAAATAAAGTCTGTAAGCAAAGAAGCATAAAGACTTGCAGTATGAAGGCATTGGCATATGTGGGAACAGTAGGTGCCAAGGAGTTTCAGGCAGCATCCACTACAGCATGGGTTTCAAGGCCTTTTATGAGATGGTTTCAGATGGCCTCTACAGCCTCATCTCTTAGCATCCTTCCTCAAACACCTCCCATTTTGGCTCAACTCAGCTTGCCTTTTCTAGATAAAAAATGTTTGAGCCAGACACAGTGGCACATGTCTCTGGAGACTGAGGCAGGAGAATGGTGAGTTCAAAGTGAGCCTCAGCAACTGAGCAAGGCACTAAGCAATTCAGCAAGATCCTGTCTCTAAATAAAATATTAAAAAGGACTGAGGATATGGCTCCGGGGTTAAGCGCCTCTGGGTTCAATTCCTGGTACCAAAAAAAAAAGAAAGAAAAAATCCAAGCTCTTGGCCTCATTCCTTCTGTCTAGAATGATTTGAATTCTTCTCCCATAACTACCTTATCTGCATGGTAACACCTTCATTTAAATGTGACTTCCTCTGCCAAGACTTTCCAACTACCCTTAACAGTTAGTTCAATTTTTCCCCCCATGGTGCTGGTCCACTCAACTGTCACAGCACTTAACCCGCCATTTACAGTGATTGTGTGCCTGCTTTTCCATATCAGAACAAGAGAGCTGGTCTCCAGGGTCTAAGGCATAATGTCAAGGCTAGTGTTTGGGCTTTGGAAGTAGATAAATGTGGATTAATATAGCTTGGGCAAGTTTTTAACAGTTCTACACTTCCATTGCCTCATGTTAAAAAGGGAATTCCCTTGTAGAGTTGTAGAAAGGGACAGAAGTAATGTTATGTGTATCTTTAGTAATAATGTTTGCCATGTTAGGGTTCGTAGTAAATGTTAAAAGATAGTCCAAGTGGATAAGAATATAGAGCAATAAGCTTGCGGTTGTAGCTTAGTAGTAGAGCACTTGCTTGTCATAACCAAGGCATTGGATTCAATGCCCAACACTGCAAAAAAAAAGGTGAAATGGCTGTAGATGAGAAAAAGTTAGACAAACTAGCATTAGTTTTTCTGGGAAGAATCTAAGCAATGCTTGTCAGAAAATTTAAATGTTTTACCATAAGCAAAAGTTTTATTTTCCCGTTGTTGTGACCAAAATGAAAGGTGATAGACTTAAAATTGCAAAATAAATGAAGGCTGTGTGTGAAAAAATCTTAGAATGGAAATTTTTTTAAGGTTATATCTTTTCAAGATGAAGCAGTGGAAGTTTAGAACTGTTAAAAACTCACCTAAGTTGGGCGTGGTGGCACACACCTGTAATTCCAGCAGCTTGGGGAGACTGAGACAAGGGGATCACAAATTCAGGTTCCAGCCTTTGCAACTTAGCAAGGCCCAAAGCCTATTTGCAAGATCCTATCTCAAAATAAAAAATGTAATGTTATGAACGACCAATAAAAAAAATAAATAAATAAATAAATAAAAATTAAAAAAAAAAATGTTTAAAAAGACTGGGGATGTGGTTCAGTGGTTAAGCACCCCTGGGTTTAATCCCTGGTACCAGAAGAAAAAAATTTGTCCAAACTGGGATTAAGACCCATGTTTGCCTATTTCCAAAGCCACATGCTTGTCTTTCTGCTATGTATGCCACACACATAAAGACAGAGAATTAGTTGTCTGGAGAGATAAGAGGTCCTCACTATTTGATGTCTTTAAAAAAAATAAGGTCAACTCCACCAGAAATGGTGCGGTAATGGAGCTGCTTCAGAGACTCAGCCACTATAGGACCACAACTTCTAAGGGCATTACTGTTACAAAGTGTATTAATGGAGTTATTTTCCTTTGTTTAGGTAATAAAGCTCTTAAAATCAAAATACCATTATAAAGAAGAGGCTGAAATCATCTGTGACAAAGTTCAAGTTAAACTCAGCAAGGAATGTTTTCATCCTTATAGTACATGCATTACAGATCTGAGGACTTCACACTGGGAAGAAGCAATCCAGGAAACAAAAGGTGGTGCAAACAATAGGAAATTGGCTGAAGAATGTTATTTCCTGTGGAAATCTACCCGTTTACAGCATATGACCCTAGCAGAAGACATCAAAGCCATGCTCACTGAACTTCGCAAGGAGGTCCGCCTTCTCTTGTTAACAAATGGTGACAGACAAACACAGAGAGAGAAGATCGAGGCCTGTGCCTGTCAGTCCTACTTTGATGCTATTGTTGTAGGTGGAGAACAGAAAGAGGAGAAACCTGCACCTTCCATATTTTATCATTGCTGTGATCTCCTTGGAGTACAGCCTGGGGACTGTGTGATGGTTGGTGACACATTAGAAACTGATATACAAGGAGGCCTCAACGCAGGACTGAAAGCAACAATCTGGATAAACAAAAATGGAATAGCACCACTGACATCATCCCCTATTCCACACTATATAGTTTCTTCTGTACTAGAATTACCTGCTCTCTTACAAAATATAGATGACAAAGTCAATATGTCAGCTTAAAGCACATATTATATTCAGTTCTAAGAATAACTTGACTTAAGATTTAATGACCATTTTGTGAAGGTCCTCCCAACCTTATTGCTTTTGACAACCAACCATTGACTTGTATTTATATCTGAAAATGCAGGTTGCATTAATACAGGTTACTTTCAGGAGTATGTAGTCCAGACAACTTGAGGAAATACATTATTTGTTAGTACATAACTTGAGATTTTTAAAAAATTATTTTATTAATGTTTTAGTATCTTGGTTCCATGATAGCTTATGCATGGATACACAAATGCAGCTTATATGACCTAAAAATAGATATTTTTWAAAAAATAGATATTCCAAAACACGTATAATAGAGATTTATTAGAGTGATTGAATCTGATTCATATGAAGTGTTAAGTCATGCAAATCAAGGCATTTCACAGTGAAATTATTCTGCTATTTTTTAAATAAGTCATATTTTTGCTTATTCTGGGTGTGTATTTTCTATTATGAATCTAATTTTTCTGCATGACATTTTTGGGGGTTGTTTTTCTGTGGTGTGTACATGACAGCTCCAGTTTAAAAAAAAAAACTGCTAAAATCAACACGTSKTGCTCTTTTTCCATGCCAATTTAAAGCAAGCTTGTAACTTCCTTGTAGTCTTTACCTCTTATAGAGCTATTTTTACTATCATTCCAGGCACACAGTGTAATTGAGGGGACTCAACTTGCTGGGGATAGGTGCAAGTCACATGGCACCAAAAGTCATTTTTCCTCCTGTGGATGTGTAAGGGGAAAATTGCCTTCATGTGGCCTAACCAGGTAGTTTCCCTGCCCCCATTTGTTCTCTATTTACTGATTTCAAAACATAGTAAAAAACTAGTAGAAAATAAGGTTTTGCTGTAAACTACTTCCAGGGTGCCATTTTAATACTTGAGTGACTCTTAAAGTTACCATCTGCCTTAAGTCTGTTATTCACATTTTCAGAAATAATYACTGTTTTGCAAATTTTTGTATCTAATTCAGGGTTCACTTGGATCCTATTAATTCATAGTTCCATGGCAATATATCAGCTGGAAACTAGAAAATTTTCCTAAGCCATGAGACAAGACAGTTTCATAATTCCACTAATTAAACTTGTACTGAAGTGATAAAGAAAAGAGTGRTTAATAAAGGAAATATTAGTAGGATCGTTTTTGGTAATACGAAAAAAAAAAAAAACTAAAAGTACTAATGTAAAATACTAGGTGGTATACTGGGATTTGCAAAACTGTAACTCGAAGATGGATAATTGAGTTTTAGATTATACCTGAGAACCTAAAAGGCAATTATTTTTTGTCTGCTACTAAGAACCAAATTTTCTGCCTTGTACAAATGTCCTTTTGTGTTTACTTAAGACTCTTGATTGTCCCAGGGTGCTGTTGCTATGAAGCTAAACATCTAAACATGGTATGTTTGTATTTCCAATATGCCACCATCTGACCTTGATTAAATTTTAGCTATTAGAAGTTGGTAAGTTTGGAGGCTTTTGAAAAAAACAATTATGTGCATGATTTCTCTAATACATTGATTGATGTGTAGTACTAAGGCTCATACTAGCCCACAGGGTGGATGTGGACAATGTCACATCCATTACTGATTCATCACTCATACATTATGCTAGCCAATCTCAACAAGATAGCTCATAGAACATTATGTGAGCAATTATTGAAAAATTACCCAGTGGGGACTGGACACAATGATTCATACTTATAATCACAGCTACTGGGAAGGCTGAGACAGGAGGATCACAAGTTTTGAGGTCATGTTGGGCAATTCTAGTTAGAACTGTCTCAAAAAGGACTGGGCATACAGCTCAATAGTAGAGTTCCCTGCTCAATACCTAGTACCACAAAAAAAGAAGGATCTAGGGGGAAATTGAGGATTAAGCTATGCAGTACAGCAATGCAATTTTACATTCCATTTGCACCCTTCCTCTGGGAAGAACTTTGTAGTTTTCTATCTTCTGAGTGGAATGTTACAGAAAGTGTTTTAAAATATTGGAATGGAACCATGATTTTATTAGTAGTATTTTGATTTAGGATAATATTCCTCAAAATTAAACAATGATATAACAGTGGCTTTTTGTTACCTTTTTTTTTTTTTCATAGTTTTCCTATAATGGCACACTCTTACAAAGCCAGAAATTCTCAGTTGTCCAGAGCTTTCCAAATACTGTAAGCATAGAGGCCTAGAGTAGACACAGGTAGACACTAAYTTGGGCAATCAACAGGTGGAAGTGTTCTGAGTTCACATGCACATCCACTAGTGCACAGCAACTAGATCTGGTAGTGTTTAGTATTGCAGGGGAGCAGTTAGCTTTATCACTTTCGAACTTGGGGGGGAAAAATCCAAATGGCTGCACTCAGGCTGGCAGTTTATGCTAGGTGTCAGCTAGGAAGGAGCTCAGCTGAGGCTGCTGGACAGGGTGGCTGGAATTAATCTAACTCGAAGTGGACCTGGACCCTCTCCATGAGGCTAACCTAGGCATCCTCTCAACATGGCAGCTGGATTCCAGTAAGGATCATCCCAAGAGAGCAAAACATAATATGTAGATACTTATTAATCTTTGGTTTGCATTATGCAAAAGCTAGTCAAAGAAAAATAATTACACCTGTAAACAAGGCAGGTTCTGCTTTGGCCACTTAGACAGGAAAAGTCCCAAAAGAGATGAGGAAAGATAAGAAGGGAAGTGTTTCCACAAAGGAAGCATGCTGCATTCTGACATATTTTGAGATTGTCATCAATATTTATGATAAATGAGCAACTGAACTCATTTTCTTGTCCAAYAGAATTGTACTACAGTTCCATTGCTTTTTAATATCAGTGATTTTTTTAATCACCAAGAAGTCAGAAAAACCACTCATCTTCATTCCTCCAAATTTATTCATCACTCAAAAATTTTTGCATATTTCACAAGTCCACTCCCCACCCAACATATAATATACATGCCTACCTATAGAACTCTCAAAAAAAAAAAAAAAAAGCCTGGTTAGTTTCTTGGTTGCTAGCACCATTATTACACTTGCTGAGCTCCTAATAATTAAGAATGTCATCCCCAAGTCCTGTGTTATTGGGACCTCCTTATGAGGATAAAGCTATCAACCTTGAAGTCTGCTCAAAAATGTAACAAAGTATAATAAGTTAATAAAATACTCTAAAAATTCACAGAACTTCACTCAGTATCTAGGAGATGTCATTGAAATATTGCTTCTCTAAAAATAGCTCTAAGCCTGGGGTTGTAGCTCTGGTAGAGTATTTTCTTAGCTTGCACAAGATCCTGGAGTCAATCCCCAGCACCACGAAAATATATTAACAAAAGCAATRTTATTGTTATATTTAACTCCTGGGAATGACCAAATTTTGTGGGAAGTCAGTGGCTTCACTCCTTCAATGATTAACAAACACCATGAAGCCAGAGTTGGAAAGAGTAGATAAWACCCGGTGCATATTTAGGCTCGGCACCCATCTACAGGCTTTGTATTGACTAAAAATATTAGCTCAAGGGGTTTTTAGAAAATTTCTAACAGCTTCATTGTGCAAATGAGAAAATGAAAACCCTGCTTGATGAAATGGCTCACATTAGGTCCACAGTGGTAAAGTCTCAACCATGCCCCATCCTACTCTGCCCAGGTCTATCAAATTATGTGCTCAACCTAGCACATGTGGTAGATTTTTTTTTTTAAATCTGAGGATCACATTTGGGACATAGGTAAGAACTAGAGAACAACTTCACAGGAATTACAAGTTCAACCAGGGTGCTAAACAAGGATGGTACTGGAATTTAACTAAAATGAACTATTGTTCCTTTAACATCTACGTAGTGGGGGAAGATTTCTTCCAAACTCCAGGCTTTTCTGCTCATTCCTAGAACTATAGACTTGTGATCACTAAATCACAAACAGTCTTAATTCGGAAGCAAGAATCTACCCACATTCTAATCTGTCCGAGAATAGACCAGCCCAGCACCCTGCCTGGCTCCTCACAAGGCCTGTGCTATTGGGATCTCCTTGTGAGTTTTTCTCCCATGGTAATCTCCTTGCACGTGGTGGGAGTGGGGAGACGGTTCTGAGTTGGTTAGAACCTGCACTTGTCATGGTTGGCTGCATTGCCTCCAGGCCTGACCTGCACACCTTGTAGGCATTTGGGGGGCTCTTTAGTACYCCTTTCTGGACCCCTCCTGATAAACTAGTTTTGTTCCTCTTCTCCAGGGAGTTTTCTTCCAGTCCTGGTTCTTGGGAAGGTCTTCTACCACTGGCCCTTACCAGTGGATTCCCTGTCTCCCAGGCAGTCCTCTTAGGAAGGGCTCTAAATGGCTCCAGGTCAGCCTCTATCCCAAGTGTTTGCCCCATTATTAATAAAAATAAAGATATATCCCACATGCTCCACTGTCCTTTACACCCCTGCCACAGCCCCCTTGAATGCTCATGTTCTACAACAGCATGTCAACCTCCTTTTCAGTTTTATCACTGGATCCTACTCTCTAGTTTTGTGGAGAAGACAGTTCACACCCAGAGGGAATAGAACTCAGGTTTTAGTAGTTCTCTCCAAAGAAATCCCACAGGGCTGAGGCATAACTCAATGGTAGAAGGCTTGCCTAGCATGCATAAAGCCCTGGGTTCCATCCCCAGCACCAAAACAAACAAACAAAAAAACCAAATCCCATAAATCCCCTTCCATTTCCATCTCCACTTTCTCAATTCATATTCTTCACKTGGGTGGGGGAGTTCAAGTATCAGGAAACAGGCTCTTATTAGCTACTTTGAAAACTCCAATGAGACTCACACTTCAGTATATGATAACTATTGACTTAGGTCAAAGTGTCAATTCTGACATCCTGGTACATAGCAAGAAGAAATATGGTACAACACAGATAAACTCTTCTTAAAAGAATGCCAAATAAGGGAGCTACGGTGCAGGGGCTTGAAAGGAGTGAAACATTTTATGTGGGCAAAGAAGGGACAGCATATTTCCAGAGAATTAGTTCAGTTCAACACAAATTCATTGAGTGTCAGGCAGTGAGTCCTAAGCAATCAGAAATTTACAATCTCCAAAGAAGGAAAGTCACCAGCCTGGTTGAATAAAAGGATCTAAGTAGGAGATGATAAGAAATAAAATTTGGACAGGTAGGATGGACTGTCAAAAGCAGAATGTGAGTAGAGTGAATCTGACATAACTTTCCTGTGTGCATATATAAATATACCACAGTGAATCTCCACATTATATACAACCACAAAACTGGGATGTACTGGGATGTGTAGAATAAGATGTACTCTTTTCTAGGTGTGGTGGCACACACCTGTAATCCCAGCAGCTCAGGAGACTGAGGCAGGTGAATAGTGAGTTCAAAACCAGCATCAGCAACTTAGCAAGGCCCTAAGCAACTCAGTAGGTGCCCCGTCTCTAAATAAAATATTTTAAAAATATATTTATTATTTTTTTAGTTA